GGTAACAATTCCTCCGCACCACAAACAAGGGGCTGAGCCTTGACTGGAGAACTGTTAAGGCAGGTCCAAAGAACGGCCATTATACAAAGGGCTTCTGGGAGTCTGAGCTCCATACCACAAAGCAATCATTCCTGTTTCTAGAACTTTCTGGAGCAGACATGGGGATGCTGCTATGTTCAGAACAAATCCCCCATTCTCCATCCTGAGCGTGACACCCATTGTACAGCCCTGACTTGGGAACTCAAGCAAGCTCAGTCCAAATAAACAATAAGAACACACAATTACCCTGCAAGAAGCGATGCAGTTGATCCAACGTGCCGGCTGGCCACAGAAGTCTAAAGATGGACCCAGCACTGCTTCTGAAACCACACTGCCACGGTCCTTTAAGGAGTCACTGCTAAAAAATGACAGTGTTTCTGTGGAGTGAAACTCATTTTCAGAGGTGGGAGAACCTGCGGTGATTTGTGAAACCCCATAAGAAATAATCCCCAAAAATGCTTTTCTGCACAGCTCTCTTTTTACAGAGCTCTGCAGCTGTGGTTAACAAACTCCAGCTAGGGACCTGTCACCATCACAGAGGACAGGACAATAAGGAGAAGCCTAAGGAAGGCCGAGGGTATGTGAGCGAAGCAGGAGAAAAGCTCCTAAAGTGCCTGTGCAGATGAACAGGGCAGGGAAAAAAGGCAGATTAACGATGGAAGGCTGCAAAGGACAATGTTATGGAGATCATTCCAAGCAGCGCCCACCCTGAGTGCTGTGAGCTCTGGAGCCACACAGAGAAGATGGCAGGAAAGGCCTCAAAATACTCTTCTGATTCTTGCTCCTTGGTCATTAGGCCCCCAGGGACAAAGGAACCACCCGATCCCTACATCTGGTGACTTTAATATCAGAACATTTTTACTGTGTCCTTTGGAGACTCCTCTCTGCTCTGGATGAGAACAGCTCAGGAGACGCCTACAGACTGATGGTGTGCACCCCAAATTCTTACTACTACCATCAGATGAAACTTACGAGGTCTCAGAATCTTCAAAAGCAGTGGAACATGGAAGAGACTGCGCTGAGACAGACGTGAACGGCCGCCCTTCGCCAATCACCTCCAGGCCATCCAGATCCTGCACACACAGAGCAGTGACCAACTCTTACCTTCCCTTCTTGTATGGAAAATAAGCCAAATTCCAGACAAACGCAGCAAGCGAATCAGGTAAAGTTCAGCTATCTCGCTCCTGCAACAGCTTCTAGACCTATCAAAAAACGTGTAAGAGAGTAAGGAATTACTCTGAGCCTCTGCACAGCCCCAGGATGGGCTAACTGCCTTCAGAGCTTGGATGCAAACCTTCCACAGGGGCAGATGTCTTCCTTTTGCTGTAAGGCACAAAATAGAAGTCCTACCAGTATTTGGTCTTTTTGTTGCCAAGGCCTTAGTAGCTGCAAGCTGCTGCTCAGCTGCTCTGAAGCCCCGAGGGCAGCCCATGAGTCACAGAGAGGCCAAGCATCTCCTTCATGGCTGCCGCCCTTTGGGAACGCAGGAACCTCCAAGACAAGAACTGCAGAGCTAAGCCTTATAGGGTTCCTAATGCCTCTCCAGATTCAGTCTTTAGCTATGTTGTGCTACCCGACAGCACTTTACAAGAGGTGAGGGACGTAAAGAATATCCTCACTCCTGAGACTTACTGGCTTATAAAAATCCAGCTCCTCTAGGATAGATTTTAGCTCCTGCCGTCGCTGTTTCAGGAAAAGACTCTTGTCCCAGGTCAGACGGAAAGGGATCCTCTGTGGAGGCTTCACGCCTGTGTGAACACCCACAAGAGCTCACCATCTACTCACCCTCTTGCCTCCTTATTTCACTCAGCCCTGCACACAGGAGCATCCCTGCACCCAGGCTGCATCACAGCACTTACAGCAACGCAGCGCTCGTGCAGCAGCCTGCACCACCCCTGTGCTCACTGCAGCCCAACCAAAGGCCACTGGGAAGCAGCCTCTGTACTACTGGGAGCAACTGCCTCGTCCTGCTGCTCCCTCCACACTTCCTTACCCGTTTCCATCTGAACAGTGTGGGGCTTCCCCACATGAGTGACTGGCTGTGGGCAGCCCCGTTCTCTCCGTGTCAGTGTCACCATCAGGCCGGTCAGCTCATCCCCGATGCGCTCAGGCTGGCTCCAGAATTCGCTTCCTGCTCGGTAGCCCTGTGGGGAAACCAGGCTCCAACCAACACCCTTGCAGACGTGCAGCTGCTTGCTATTTGCACAGGGACTGGCAGCTGAAAAGAAGGTGGTATCTCACTCTGCCTGTGTGGGTATTTTAGAAGACTATAAATAATCCCTTTCTGCAGGGTAAGCCAAATTTCTACAGGCTGTTGTCAAAGACAAAAGATGACTTTCTTCTACCTGGCACTACACGCAAGTTGAATGATATTAATGCATCACATAAATGCAGGTCCTTCGATCTTCCTCTTACAGCACCTTATAGCAAGTGCTACAACACTTTACAGTGTTATGAAAAGCAACAAAAACACAACAAAAAAACACAACAAAAAAACACCAAAGGATACTCTCATAACTGTCCTCACTTACCGGTACCCCTCTCTCCTCTAAACCCCCTAAAACTCGAGCTATCAGATCTTTTTGGCCTTGGAACAACACGTGTGGCACATCCCCAGTGCCACACACATGGCCAACCCAAGTTCAGCAGCTTGTAAGGAGGAGCCACGCAGCCACTGCTTTCCCCTGCATAGCCCAGGCAGCACAGATCATGTTTTTGTTTTGAGAATCGCTGAGAGCTCTGCTCACAGTAGGTTGAAGGACTCAGCTGGAAGGGCTTTGGCAATTACCTGAAGACAGCTCTGCGCAGGCATTATTTGCGGCAGCAGTGCCTAAGCTCTTTCACAAGAACAGAGCAATTAGGATGCAAAGGAAGTGGGGCTCTCACCTTTCCAGGAAACAGGGCAGGGAGACTACGGTCAATGAGGTCACGTTCCTCCTGGATTTGTCTGTAATCCTCCGAGATGCTCATCAGCAGCTCATTCTCTGGCCTCTGAAGAATTTCTGTAAAGGAATATGAAAGGTACTGCGCTTCTCCTGCCCTTTACTAAAAGTCCTTTACTAAGAATCCTTTACTATTTTCAGTGTGCAATCCCCTCATACCATCCTCATCAAATCCACTGTGCTTCCCGCAGCCAGAATCAGCAGCTCACCCTGCAGGGACACCCACAGCATGGGGAGCCCCGACAACACTGAGGTAGGAGGCAGCAGCAGCAGGACTAACCCTGGTTGGCTCCGGCCTTTGCTGTGTGTTGTGGAGCCATCAAACAGCCCCAGGTGCACACAGAATCTCAAAAAAGGGTCTCAAATCCTCTCACCTCCCAGATACCTCTCCTGCTTCTTCCTGATTGCCATATTATGGTGCCAGTTCTGCAGAGCTTTATGTTCTGATGCTGGGGTTTGATGAAATTTTCTCTTTGTTTCTCCTCCATGTTTCTCTTTTAAAACTGCTGCAGCAACGTGCTGATGAGGAACCTGAATGGAATCTGCTATCTGAAAAGAAACAAAACAGTAGAACTGACCTCACAATGCATGCACTGCCACCACAACAAAAAATGCAAGATGAGAGGAGAAGAGAATCGTTCAGACTGCAGTACCTTTACCTGATCAGAGAGGTACAAAGATGGGGCACTAAGCACACACTCAAAACAATGGATTTAGCCAAGTAACTGAACTCAAGCAATGATGTTACTGCAGCCCCAGCTCCTCCCACGGTAGCCTGATGCCATCAGCATCAGTGTTCTCTCCAGAGCCTCCACCTGCACACAGGACCTCAAAACCTGCTGGTGCAGTTTCTCTGGAGGCAAACCCTCCCCCACAGAGCACGATGACAAGGAACGCCACACCTCAAGCCTGCCCTGTTTGAGACAAGTGCTGAAATAAATCACATCACACCACATCACATTCCCCTCTAGAAAAGCAATTTTATAATCGACCTGAGCATTTCCTCTGGCCAAGGCTTCCATCTTTAACTCCTGGAGACTTCCCAAAACATGATGAGGAAGAATTTCTTCACAGCCTTCACCAAACAGTGGCGGTCCTACAACAAAAACACCAGACCCCAGGGCAGGTCACTAAATCTAGGCCTGCCACAACCAAAAATCAAAGGTAAACTGAAGCTTACCCCTACCAGAGAAACGCAGCGGCTCCCTGGCTGTCCTCGGGAAAGCCGGCCGTGCTACCAGGAGGCGCGGGGCTGCTTTGGCCTCTCTGGGTTGGTATTTCCGAACCAGGAATTTCCTCCTGACTGGAATCCTCCCAGCATCGTGGGGCAGGCGTGGAGCGTGGAGCTGCAGGAAAGAAACAATCACAGCACAATCAGCTACAAACTGACCTTCCTTGGTTCCTTCTGACCCATCTGGGACACGCAGGGAAGTCCTATCAGCACACGCCGCTTCTCATCACATGCACACTGCACAGAGCGACAAACCATCCGGGTTGGAAGAGCCCTCTACGGTCATCCACCCCACAGCCCTCACTGCCACATCCCGGTGATGCGCAGCACCCCGGGGCTCCCCGTGCCACCGCATCTGGCAGAATGAACTGTTCCCACTGCCCGACCCGAACCTGGCAGGCGCAGCCTGAGGCCGCCGCTCTCTGCCTTGTCTGACTGCGGAGGCACCCGCTCAGTTCCCACCCCGCTCCTCTGGACTCCACGTTAGAACCGGGGCAGGGACAGGAGTTCCCGATCGTTTCCCGTGCCGGTGGATGCCAGACGCTGTCCCGTCCCAGCCCATCGGGAGCAGAGGCGGCTGATGAGAGCCGAGCCGCGGGACGGCGGCGGGCCGGGAACCGACGGACAGCGGGGGCAGGAGGAGCTCGGGCTGAGCTCAGACAGCGGGTCGGTGCTCAACGGCGGGGCCGGGAGCTCTGTGCACCGGGAGACCCATGCAGGGAAGGCAGCTTTTTGCGCCGGGACAAACACGCACTTTTTCCAGGTCCTCCAGCCGAACGGCGAGCGCTCGGACATCGCCGCTCCGCAGCGGGCACAGCGCGGGTCGGGGCTCTGCGGGGAGCGCCGGGCTCCGCTCCTTCGGCTCTGAAACGCACAAGGACGGAGCGCCTCAGCACCGGGAACCGCACCGCACCAGGATGCGGCCCCGGGTTCACAGGAGGGGAGCGGGTCGCGCACCCGACGGGGATGGGGACGGGGACGCGGCCCGGCCCTTCCCGCGGCCCTCCCGCCTCCGCAGTGCGCGGCCCGCCGGCATCCCTCGGCCCGGCGCCATGGCAACGCGGCGGCACCACCGAGAGGCGCGCCTAGAGCGGCCCGCGCCGCCGCCGCTCTATGGTGCCGCCACGTGAGCCGTGCGTACGCGCCGAGCGGAAGCGCACCGAGCCGCGAGCGCCGCCTGCCGGACCCGCCCGGCGCTTCGTCTCACAGTCACGCAGATCATCCCGTCCAGCCGCTGGACTTACTGACAGACAGACAGCAGAGGCTTTGTGGACGGTTACATCGTTGTAGCCTTCATTGCTATTTTATGCCCTACGTGTTCAACGAGGCAAGTTGCTCTGTGACCCTCAGCTCGCTTTTGGTGTCTGTCCGAACCCGATGTGGTGGTGCTGAGATTATCTGACTCTTCAGCAGCTACAACGGCAACATCCGGCACCCGGGCCGCGCCTCGCGCTCCTCCGTTCCCTCGGCCCCACAATCGGCGTTTCACGGCGTTTATTGCCCGCAGCCGCGGCAAGGTCTCAGCGCGATCCCCGTCCCCCGCCGTCCTCCTCCTCCACCGCGTTCCAGCGGCGCCGCAGTTGGCACAGCAGCGCGGGCAGCAGCGAGTCCAGCAGGGGCAGCCCGGCGGGCGTGCAGCGCAGCGCCCTGTAAAGGCAGCGCCTGAGCACCGCCCCGCACCGAGCCCGCACCGCCGTCCCGGTACTCACCGCCCGTTCAGCCGCAGCCAGCCCCGCTCCTGCAGCTCTCTCGCCTCCCCCGACGCCCCGAACGCGGCCTCCAGGCTCAGGCGGGGGGAGAAGAGCCCCCAGCGCTGCGAGGGATCGGCGGTCAGCGGCGGCTCCTCTGCGAGGTGCCCGCGGCCGGCAGGCGCTCACCTGTTGCGTGACGCCCTCGTCCGTGCGCAGTCCCAGCGCCAGCACCTCCTGCAGCCTGCGGACGCGGAGGTTACGGGGCCGCGGGAGGCGCGGAGGGCGCTCCTCCGTCCCGTCCCGTCCCGTACTCACAGCTCCAGCGGGCTCAGCGCCGCCCGCCGCCGGGTGCCGTGCCCGCAGCTCCGCACCTCCCGCATCCACGTGTCAGGGTGCGGCGTCTGCACGCGTGCCTCGCGCAGGCGGCCGCCCTCTCCCCACGGCACGAAGCGGCCGTGCGCCCCTGAGACGGCACAGAGAGCAGAGAGGATGCGGCGCACACGCGGCCCGGCGCACGGTCGCCGCCGCCAACCCCAGGGCTTACCTGGCCCCACGCCCACGTACTGCTCGGCCCGCCAGTAGGAGAGGTTGTGGGTGCTGCGGGCGCCCTGCAGGACAGCGGTGCGGTGGGTGAGGAGGGGCTGCGCCGGTGGCGGGGGCTCGAGGCAGGGGCGCTCACCTTCCTGGCAAAATTGGAGACCTCGTACTGGTGGAAGCCGGCGGCCGCCAGCGTGGCGCGGGCGCTCAGGTACAAATCGGCCAGCAGGTCCTCGGGGGGCTCAGGCAGGACCCCCCGCCGCACCTGGGCCTCCAGCGCCGTGCCCCGCTCCAGAGTCAGCTGGTACAGGGCCAAGTGGTCGTCACACAGCCCCAGCGCCGCCTCCAGGCCGCGTGCCCAGGCCTCGCGGCTCTGCCCCGGCAGCCCAAAGATGAGGTCGAGGGAGACGCGGCCAGGAAAGAGCTTCCGTGCCGCCTCCGCCGCCGCCCGCGCCTCCGCCGCCGTGTGCTCCCGGCCCAGCAGCCGCAGTTCAGCGTCGTCCAGGGACTGCGGATGGAGCACGGTGGCAGCGGAGCTGCGTGGGAACAGAGGGCTGGGATGGGGCGGCCGCTCTCACCTGGACGCCCAGGGACAGGCGGTTGACGCCGGCCGCCCTGAAGCCAGCGAGGCGCGCGGGGTCAGCGGAGCTGGGGTTGGCCTCTAGCGTCACCTCGGCTCCAGCAGGGAGATGAGCGACCTCCGCAGCCGCCTCCAGCACGGCGGCGATGGTGTGCGGGGCGGCCAGGCTGGGGGTGCCTCCACCAAAGAAGACGGAGGTGACGCTGCAGGGAGGGCAGGGGAGAGGCTGCAGGCGGCCGCTGAAGGGCCCCGTACCTCCCGGGCCCCAAGGCGGGCACCCACCTTTGCACATGGCCGAGGCGCAGCAGGGTTTGCGTCTCCTGCACCAGACAGGCACGCACGGCCGCCTCGTCCACAGCCGGCACCACGTACTTGTTGAAGCTACAGTAGGAGCAGTGCTTGCGGCAGTAGGGCCACTGCGGGCACAAGGTGTCTGTGGGGCACGCGGCTGTCCCACCGCAGGGGCACGGCCCCGCACACAGCATCGACCCCCCAGTGCCCACCACCCACACCCCTGGCTGCTGCTCTCTGCACACACAGAGCCTTCAGAGCCCCGACGTGCGCGTGGCAGTGGCACCCCGCGAGCACCAGCAGCACCAGCCTGCAGCTGCCACAAGCGGGAGCCCCTCCATGGCCGAGCCCCGCTCCCCACGCATAAGAGCCCCGTACGCGCCCACCCCCGCGTCCCCACGCTCACGTGCACGTAGAGAGCCGCTGTCACGGGCCCCGGCGGTTCAGGGCCGGGCTCGGAGGGCTTCGAGGCCGATCTCAATCCCGCAGCGCAGCCCGTCCCGCGTGGCCGCACCGCCCCGAGCGCCGCACGGAGGCCCCGCACCGCCATCGCCCCGCGCAGCCGCACCGCCCCCTGTTCCGCCCCGGGCGCGGGGTTCCGTTTTCCGGAGACCTCCTCGTCTTATCTGAACCGAGCGCGCAGCTGCCGCGCGTTAATAACGGTAGCCTTTAATTAATTTCACGCTCGTATGGCGTCTGGCGCGCGCCTCTGCGCTGCCGGGGATCGTCCGGTTCGGGTGAGAGCGGAAAACCTCCGCCCGGAGGCGGTGCGGCCCCAGCCCTGGAGGAGCCCTGGAGCCCCGGGCTGGTAGTGCTCCGCCCGCGGCGGGGACGGGAACCGCGTGGCCTTTACGGCCCCCTCCGACCCCACCGCTCCACGATCGCACGGTGTTCCCGAGGACCCGTCCGAGCCACGCTACGCCCAGCGGGGCTCTGCCGAGAGGAGCTCCGGGCGGAGGGGAAATGGGCTCGGGGGCTCGGGGCTGTTCTGCGCCCCGCTTTGCGCTCCCCCGCAGGCGCTGTTCGGGGGCATTCCGCCGGGACGGCGCTGACATCACCGCGTGCGGCCCCAAATCTCCCCCACGGCTGCGGGAGGAAGCGGAACCGCCGCGTTCCTCCGCTCGTGGTTGTGCAAAGGCGGCGCTGACGGCCGAACGCGTCTTGTTTTCTTAATTTGCACTATTAATAGAAGTGGAGAAGTGAAACATGGCTGTGACAAAGGGAGGGGAAACCCGGCACCGCAGATTCCTGCTTTCGGGCCGACGTCACCCGGTCCTCGTGGGTCACAGCAGGGAGTTTCCCAGCTGGCAGTGAGGGCTATGAGACACTGGTAGGGATGGGCTGCGGCCGCACAGATCGCATATGGGCACATCGACCGACGTGATGTGGAGAGCTGTGCTGTGCATCCACGCTGTCCTGGTGAGTGCTCGTGGAGCAGGGCTGCGGGAGGCGGCGAGCAGCGACCTCAAAGCCATGAGATGGGAAAGCTCTGGGGCTGGGATATGGGTGGGTGCTGAGCCCAAGGTGAGCAGTGCGTGGCCTGCAGCTCGTGTATGCAGATGGTGCAGGGCCAGGGACAGGGCTGATGGGTCTGCGTCCCTCTGTGTGACTGTAACCTGTGCCTGGGGCTTCTCTCTGCAGTCTGTGACCCCGCACAAGGCAGGATTGATTTCATCTTCGTCTCATAGCAGCCGACCCCAGGGATTCCACACCCAGGTGAGTACATGGGATGCTCCTGGGCAGCTGGGTCTGTACAGAGGTTGTAGGGGCCAAGCAGGAAGGAGAGAAACTCTTCCCAGCGCAATCCAGCCTGTCCTGCACCTGGGTTAATGCTGTGGGAAGCAAAGGAAGGATGTGAATCCTTTCTTAGACACGATGCACAGAGATCCGCTGCGTCTCCAAGGTCATTGCTGCCACTGCTGCAGTCCGGGTCGTGGTTCCTCTCCGAGGAAGGAGGGTTACAAGGATCCTAACACCGCATTACAGCTGTGCACATCAGACACCTCAGGGCAGCGCGTGGAACGCAGCCTGCAGGCGGCGTGGGGAAGGTGGAGGCACTGAGCGGAGCTGCACTGTGTGGAAAGCTCTATGACAGCACTGCGGGCACAGATCTGCAAGGTAGGATGCTGACACGGTCTGTTCTTTCAGGAAGCGCCTACGAACAATGGTCATCTCATTGAGGTCTGCTTCCATGGGTAGAGCCCACAGCCCAGCTGGGAGAGCCAGAGCAGCGACTTTGCTGACACTTCCTCGCTCCCCCTTTGCACCACCGCTCCTCAGCGGCTCCAGGAGACAGAAAGAGGTTGGTGAGAGTTGGCTGCAATGTCATCTGCAGCCCAGCTGGTGTGGGACACTCGACGGGAGGGGAAAGGAGCTCTGCTCTTCAGCTTCTCGTCGTGGTGTTTCATGGTTGGGAGGCACCAAACTCCCGTAAAAACGCTGTCCCTGTTTGCTCTGCTTTGCACTTCTCACGGGACAGAAAGTTTGGTATTTCTGTACACTGCTTACTGTCTGGCTTATTCAAAGCAACAAAAATAAACACCATTAAGTCTGTGTTGGAGAATTTTATTTGCTGGTCAGAAGGCCCCTGGGAGGCCTGGGAACAGGGCTGGTATTTCCAGCCAGCTGTGGGGAGCCACTTCTGACGGAAAGCCTTTCTGCCTAAAGCCTCTGCCCTTCATCTCAAGTCTATCAGTGCTCACTTCACTGGGTGATTTATACGCCCTATGAATCCCAACAGCACCCAAGCAGAGAAGACATTAACCAGGTGAGGCTGCTGTGACTTCAAATATCAGTAGAAATAGGAACAGTATGTTACCAGCATCTGTTCAGGCCCAGAAAGCCCTCTGAAATGGCTGAAGCCAAGTTGCTCAAGGAGAAACAAGACTTTGCAACCTTCGTGAAGTCTTAGAGTAACAGGACACAGTTCCAGAAGTAAGCATCTTTTCCTCACACCGCAGTATTTCTTCTGGCAAAGAAACAAAGCTAGCTGCAAAAAAAGGCTCTCTGTTCTATAAGCATGAAAGTGCCATCAGTCCAAGGGCAGGGAGAGAAGCCCTCCACTGCTTGTCACAAGGCACGGGTGAAAAGGAGACGTAAGGCTGGATGCAGCGAGTCCAATTTATCCCTTGTTTTATTCTCCTTCCTGAGCTCAGAGCTGAAGGTGCTTCTCCATCTGCTCTCTCAACTTGTATTTCTGAATCTGAAACAAAGCAGAGGTGCAGAGGCTCAGACAGCACGGCAGGGCACGGCGTCCCTCGTCCCACAGCCCCTCTTACCTTGCCTGAGACAGTGAGTGGGTACTGACTCACAAACACGATGTAGCGCGGGATCTTGAAATGGGAGATCTGGGAAGAGAAATCCACAGCTCCACAACCTGCCAGGAGCAGCGGCGCAGCACAGCTGCCTGTAGCATCCACAGCTAAACCGGGGCTGCGGGGACCAGGTGAGCAGCCCTGCAGCTGCTGCTGGTCGTGGTGGCCAGGCAGGACACTGGAGCGGGGCACACAGGAGCAGAACGCACCTTTCCTTTGCAGAAAGCTTTAATGTCATCGGCTGCGCAGCTCTGCCCAGCTCTCAGTCGGATGCAAGCACAGATCTCTTCCCCCATCAGCGAATCCTTCACTCCAACCACCTGGAGGGGACAGAAGGACGTGTGAGCCTGGAGACGTCCCCCCAGCAGCTCGCTGTGCCTGCAGGGTGTCGCAGCCCTGACCCCCGCAGGATGCTCGGGGTGGAGTTGTGCACTGGGTGCCACAAACAGCCTGCCAGAGCTTCCTGTGAGTCACCAAACCCTCCTGGAAGGACTTCTGCCGTCTGTTGGAGGAAATGTGGCACAGCAGGATGGGCACCCAGACGTCAGCGCCTTCCTCTGGTTCTGCAGTCACTGAGGTCAGGGCTGAGTCAGGGCAGCCGGGCCTCTGTGAGAACGGAGGGGAGCTGACATCTCATTTTGTGCCTCTGTTTCCCCAGCTGTAAATGCGGGGCAATAGGTTTCATGACCAACAGACTTGGGAAATTGCTTCAATTGCTTTGTGTTCTCAAGATGAAACAGCAGGAGAGGGATGAAATAGAACTAATGGATTCTTTGGAACCCTTATAAAGGCAGAGCTTAGTTCACCACTGCCTGTGACGCCAGGAGATCAGATCACTCCAGGGGGGCCTCCCAGGCCTGATCTCTGAAGTTGTCTCACACCATTTCACACGAGTCCTCCTGCCATCCCTGCCTTGCCCAGTGCCTCAGAACCCGAGATGTGTCGGCCCTTGAGTCCGGAGCAGTGACACACAGCCCTAAGAACTGCATAGACAAGGCTGGTTTGCATCCCATCTGCAGCAGGCTGTGCCAAGGAGACGTGCCAGCCTAGCACAAGCACAACACTTACTGAACAATTGGTTTATTTATGGGGAAACTTGTCTGGCACAAAACACGGAGGAAAACAATCCCAGCAGACTGGGAGCAGCTGCTCAATGCTGCACATCATTTCTGTCTTGTGAGCAGATAAAACTAAGTCTAACTCCTCATCTCCAGGGATTTGCTGGAGGAGTCTTTTTTGATTTAGGAGTGCAGTAGTTAATTATCAGTAAGAGCTGTCCTTGCAGACTGCTTTCCAAGTCAGAATTTCAGGGAGCATTATGAAAGTGGACAGGCAGTTTAAAAACTGAAGAATGAGTCACTGCTTCGCAGATGTGAAACTGTTGCACAAAGATTTTGTCTGAACTTGTGTGCCCTCAAAGCTGAAAAGAAAGACCCAGAAGCTCTGCCCACCCCATTCCTGCCCCCACCAGCTGCAGAACGATGCTGCCCTAAAGAAGCTGAAAAAGGGGGAGGGCAGCCAGGGGCCAGCTGCAGGCCCGAGCCTCCTCGTGTACAGGTTCTTCATCTCCATAAACCGCCGCTGTTCAGCCAGCCCCGTTCCCCCCTGCTCACCTGGACCTCCTCAATCTTGGGGTGGGTGTGGAGAAACTGCTCAATTTCTGCTGGGTAGATGTTCTCTCCTCCCCGAATAATCATGTCCTTGCAGCGGCCTATAATTCTGCAGTAGCCGTGCTCATCCAGGGTCGCGATGTCCCTGCAATGACACCACAGCCCAAGTGCTGCCCCAGCTGGGTGGAACAGCACCTGGTTCACCCATCAACCTGGAGCCAAGATCAGACTGCCTGGAAGGTCATGGTGAGCTGCCACTAAAACACACGGAAGAAACTCCTGCAGAGATCAGAGAGTTTCTGCTATGGGCAGACACTGTCATGGCAGCATCTACGAACGTCAGGGCTCGGGGGAAGGAGACTCCTGCTGTCCCTGTCCTTGTCTCTGCTGCGTGCCTGCAGCGCTCTGCCTCTTGGAGGAAGCACAGTCACACCAAGGAAATATCTCCAACTCCAGGAGCAGCTTGCTAAGAGCTGTTTTGGAGTTTCATGGAGAGGAACCGACAGATCAGAAGGCTAATTCTGGCCAGTCTTCCCTACTTTGGAAAGCATAGCTAAACCATTCAGGTACACATACGTCCCCGTGCAGTGTCCCCATCCAGGGACATGGGAGCAGGCTGCTTTCCAGACTCACCCAGTCTTGTACCAGTTATCACCAGAGATCACTTCACGCGTTTTGGCAGAGTCATTCCAGTACCCCAGCATGACACAGTAGCCACGGACCTGAAGCTCCCCAGGAATGTTCAGAGGCACAGGCTTCCCTGTTTCTGGATCCTCAATTTTTGCCTACAGTGGAAGAGAAGCAGAGCCTTTGGGGAGCCGAGCCAAACGTTATGGCATGCAGCAACTCCAGGAGCAGAGAAGACCTGGAGCAAGTGGAGAGGATTCATGTTCACCTCCGTGTGGGGCAAGATGGATCCCACCGTCTCGGCCCTTCTGGTGAAGCTGTCAGTGGGGAATCCCATGAAGGTGACAGGGCTGTTTTCTGTGGTCCCATAGGCAACCTGCAATCACAAAAGCAGCAACGTGCCTCAAGAGGAAGAGAGCACAGCTCCAGCCTTGGGAAAGATGAAGTGAGTGATGGCCACAAGGAGATGGGGCGGGAGGAGGATGTTATCAGCAGCCATTCCAGTCACAAGCAACCGCTGTGCTCTCCTGGCTCTCCAGTCGCTCCTGCCAGAGAGACTCCAGGAGCACAAGGGCTACAGAAGCTCTGACTGCAAGCCGTAGCCTCACCATTGCCCTGCTCCAGACCTCTGCTGCCCAAGGCAATTTGTCTGTCGTTTACTTTTGACAAACCAGCTGCTTTTCCTGGAGGACCCCAGGGCCCGCTCTCCTCTTTTTTAACCTCTGTGTGCCTTCCCAAGCCCTGCCCTGTTTATTCCTTGCCACTTCTGCCACATGCTGAACTTGCCTGCATGCCCTTGCAGCCATCCACGCAAGGTGCTGAGTTCACCTTCCATCTTCTACAGCTTAGGGCAAAGAAAAAATCACTTGGATAAAACCCTGGAGCCAGCAGTGGGAAACCACGTGCCCCGCTGCGTGGCTGTTTGCTCCAGATCCTTTTGTGCAGACATCAGCTCCCATAACCCTCCTAAAGACATCACGAGGCTGCACAGCGCTCAGCGCAGCTGCACTTACAGACCAAAAGCCTCACAGCAGGACAAAAGCTGCTTGCTGCTAACCCTCCCTCAGCACTAATCCCACCGGCGGGCTCTGAGTCACCTCAGCTGAAGGTCAGTTCTCCGGAGGAAAATTCCAGCTCATTGTGCCCGGTGTGGTGCTGGAGAACTCGCTGGGAGCCACAAAGGAAGCGCTCAGGGCCACAGCTGACAGCACCACACTGCAACTGCTGCTCGGTTTCCAGCTGCTGTAAGCACTGTGCCACCAGTGGGACATGCTGGAGCCCTTCTCCACTCTCTGAGCCACTTAGAACGTCGCCCATCATCACCAGAAGGTGTTTTGTTGGGAAAGCACAGCTAGGGAAGGGCCAAGGCAGAAAACATCTGCACCCTCCTCCACCACAGCTTCAAAGACTGATCCATGAGCAGCTCTGATCCACAGAGCTTCAACGTGTTCCTTCTCTTTAGGGCTGCACTGCTGCTGCAAGGGCACACTGACACCACTGGAGTTCTGCACGGACCTCACCAGGCTCCAGGCACTGTGCTCAAAGCTGATCAGGGACTCAACAAAGGTCCGTGGCAAGGCATCCAAGCAAGCTGTGCGTGCATCCCCAGCAGGCCCCACATGATAGTGGTGGGAGAGCTTGGCACTCTGCGACTCCGAGCTGCCACAGCAGCTCACATTGGGTGCAGTTTGCCATCACATCTGATGTGCTCACTTGACTGCAGCGGGTCAGCAAGAAACCCGAGCTGCAGATTTGCCAGGAATCTGGAGATCATCTCCAGGATGCCACAGGAACCATCTGGTGCAAACTGCGACTGTAACGAGGCTTCTCCTACCAGACATAATGACAGCCTAGCAGTCAGGGAGGAAACCTGCAGAGCTGAATGCTCAGAAAGGATTTCTCTTCCACCCACTAATACGGGTCCTGTGGCTGGATCAAATGATTGACGAGACATAAATCCCAAATCTTAAACACTTATTAAAAATCCACACGCCTTTGTTTT